ACGACTTCATAACTACTTGGCTTCACCTAGCTTGCTTTTAATAGTTAGGTGGCTCCTTTTGTTGGGTTCTTGGCCTATCTTCTTGTATGGTCTTTCCCTAGCTAAGCTCTATCGATGATTGTTTATAGACGTGAAAATTCCCTTCCCGTCTGGGCAAAGAAAATAAGTTAAATATCTTATCCAAAAATAAATAAAGAAAATAAATTCGATTTTCAAAAAGATGTTTGCATCATCGACCGGCCACTGTCATCAAAGGTTGTCTATGATCTAACTGGTGGTACATTTCTACTCGTAAGGCAATGCCTATAGTTTTTGAGAAAAACTATAGGCTTTTTGTTGATGCCTTAATTTTCATGGACATCTAAAAGATGAAGAGATTAAGAATGGGAAATCCTTTTTCAGACGCTGAAAAAACTTTATGTTAGCTGTGAGAAAGACAGGTTAATCAAAAAACTTGCCTAATTCTTTTCCAAAAAGATATTTAAGGCTTTATGGAAAGACAAGCATCAAGGTAAGAGTTTCCCATTGGACTTTGCTTGGAGGCTTAAACACAAATGAGAAGACCAGGCAAGAAATCTTCACAGGTTTTTTTTTCTCAAAATTACTATTTAGTATTTATTATGCGAGAATGTTGAGATTTTTCTTCTCTTGCTCCTTTACCTTTCAGCTGTCATGAATGGAGACTCCTTTGCGTTTTTGGGATGAACTGGTCCACGCCCTTCTCAAATCTTGACCAGGGACACCCTCCTCGCTGATTCTTTAGGAGGAATTTTCAAGGATCCTCCAACATTCTGGGAGATCATTAGATTTGTAGCTTCTCTTTGAAGCTCTTGTTAAAACATCTATGTAACTACTTCCCCTCCTATATAAACTATACTGGAGCGCCTTTCAGCAAGCTCCTTAAATTATCTACTTTCTCAAATTTCACACCAAAGAAATTGTTTCTTATCTTAAAATGGTCAAAATTTTCCAATAAGGCTGCTAAATACAAACTACATATCAAGCATATAAACGGGGAGGGAGAGAGAGAGAGAGAGAGAGAAGTGAATGACAGACACAGCAGTGTTATTGATGCCAACCATGAAAAATAAATAGGTTATTTTCTGGCATTTTAAAAGATGAAAAATCAACAAATAACAATCAGAAATTATAGCAAGGCAATAAATTAACGAGACCAATTGCACTACACATGCACATGCATAATCTTCAAATTTCTCTGTAATGTGACCTGGAAAACAAGAGGTTATAATATAATTTTTAGAACTCAAGGACATAGTTACAGCCTATAGAACATATCTTGTTCAAGTAAGTACACAGTTACAATATAATTCCCAACACAAGCCAAACTAAAGTCACGAACTCCAGATATTTTAGCTTCAACTAAAGTATTAAATTACCAGATTGGTTTCATAAAGCATTTCTACATGGCTAGAAGCTGAAAGGTTCGCATGTGTACTACATTTGACTTAGAAAATGAGGCAAATACTTGGATACAAGGGTAAAGAGCCTACCTTTAGCTGATATTGAACCACCGGTTACACACCCAGCAACTACTGTATTAGTTGTATCATGTTTCGCTCGAGCCTGAGCACATGGATAAAAAAGATCCCATAAAATCACAGGCATGTACTAAGACGAAAAGACAAACGACCATTTGCACATGACACTAAGTTAATACCTTTTCTACAACGCATTCTGCTGCTGAGAAAATAAAGCCCATGACTGCAAACGCTTTAGCAGAACCCCAACTACGCCGTCCCATCTGTTTTGCAGTAAAAATAAATTGTTGTTTAGCAGTCATCTCTTCTTGCATCAATGGGTTATCCAATGCTCCCAAAAATAAACCCATGAACAATCCAAGCCCACCGCCTGCAAATATTCCAGAACATATGCCACCAATGGCACATAAGTACAGATCTCAATTCTCATACTGGAGAGAAAAAATAATAATAAGTACGCAATAGAGTGAAGCTATTGTCCACCTAACCATAGCTCATAATATATTTGTCTTAAAGTTCAGATGTTTCAATTCTCACCCTCACATTTTTAAACTCGAAAAGAAAAAGTTAAAAGTGAGTCTATTTGGAGGGAAATTGTTTCAAATGTTAGATTGGTCATGTGTCATCAATTTGAGGGTTAATGATAATATGTTTGCTCTTTGCAGCCATGACTTTAGAGGGAAAGAAAGAACACTAGTCTCGTTAAAGTTAAAATTCCAAATTTTGGTATGAAAGAAACAAGAGGACCTTCAACAACAAATATGTTTCATGAAAGAAAGCTTTGAGCTAATCAAAGTACATGTGGCTTCTTGATGCTTTCTCTCCAAATATCGGAACTATCCTAACACTAACTTAAATCTAATTGGAAAGACTTTTATGTTCGTTTTGCACTGCTTTATTTGGAGGGGTTTCTTGTTTGGTTTTATCAACAAAGAAAAAAGAAAAAAAAATGATTAGTATTTTGTAATTTTATAGACTGTATCGATGTTAGTTTGTAGTTGACCGCTTGTAACTCTTCAATTCTCAACAAAAATAAGGTTTGTTTCTTGTAAATAAGAAAAATATATTCTTTTTAAGGCAATATACATTAATACTTGATATAGTGGTTGCTCGCAAAGTAAACAATGTAAACAAAGAACAAAAGTTGCAGTGGAATTGAGCCTCTCAATCTCAATCCTTATAGCAACTAAATATACTCGCCATACCAAAACTGCATAGAAGGGAATGGTTTAACTGAAATACATCATGTTGAAAGAGAAGAAGAGAGAGCAATCACTGACATAATCGATCAAAACAAAGAAGATTCGTTTCGCTCGCGACGAGAGAAACTAGAGCAGAGTATATGAGTGAGAATGCGGGAAAAAGTATACACAGAGAAACAAACAAATTGTAGTGAACAAAAACTGAAACAAATTAGATGGCCTACCCATGACTCCACTAACGACACTGCGAACTGCACAGTTGTTCCAAATATCTTGGCCGCGAATCTCTTCGACAGTAGGCATTCTTATGGGCTCAATTGGAGGCTTCTCCGCCTCGTTCGAGCTCGTGGGATCGTGCGAAGATCCATTTCCAGCATTAGTAGCCATTGAAGTGGAGAGATGCGAGTGTAAGAAGAAAAGCTTGAAAGCTATGGAAATTGGGGAATCTGAGAGAGGGAACTGGAGAAAGCTGAGGGCCTGCGACTGCGAGGGAGGGAAGAGGGGCAAAAGCCCAGCGGGTCGGGTCTGGTGAGCCCGACCCGTGCTCCGAACCCGATTTAAATTAGGTTAAATTATTTACTCAGAGGTTCAATCTTATTCTTGACGGTGGATTTTTTTATTTTGAAAATATTAGACTTGATTTTGTTGCATAATGATTTCGTTTTTAAATTTTTTTTCTTTTTAATATCTCAATATTTAAAAATAGATTATCTCTAAGAAAAGTTCAAAGTTTCATTTTTATTAAGTATTAAATTCTTTAATACAAATAAACAATTTGAAGGTTTATATATAGCCACTAATCAACGAAAATAAGGAAATTACAAAAATAGCTCAAAAATAATATGAATTCTTATAGATAGCATCAAGTTTAAAATTTTACAAAAATAGCATAAATTACAAACTTATACCATTATATGAGACCAACCAAAGGCCACTCTTGTGATATTTTTGAAAAATAAAATAAACAATAATAATATTTTTATAAACACATATTTATTTCACGTCATTTGATATAATTTTTCTATAAAAATAAAAAGATTTAGTAAATGGAAAGATTCATAACTTACGAAAAATTACGATAAATTAAAAGGCATGCAAATGAAAAAATAACTTATGATACATGAAAACACAAGCAATTGAAAACCCTTAAAAAATCAAATTAGAAATAAAAATAATAAAAAAATCATTAAACCTAATCTGGAATAATTTTGACCCAATTTTAATTTATTTGAAGGAGTAATAGAAGATTTTTGTTGATTTGTATTGTATTCACTCGTGGGCAACGATAACTACCTTAGTTTCTCTTCAAGTATATTAATTAATATAATTTCATCAATAAAAATGATTTATTATTACGTGCTTTTTTTAAAAAAATTATTACGTACTTTTTTTCTTAATCAATTAACGTAATTTTGATAAAAGTATCTTTTTAGACGCACCTTAAGTACTCCTAGAATTTGAAAAATATATTTTGTTGAGACCTACATCACGAATGCACTATCTTTTGTTCTAAGATTGGGCCAAGAAAAGAAATGCAACATTTATGCATAATTATAGTTGTTGGTATTTTAAAGTGTGAAAGAAAGTGAAACTTAAAAGAAATTATTCACATATACGTTGTTAATATTATTCTTATTTATTATTATAGTGGTTTTGTTTATTTAGTTTATTAAATTTTAAGTTATTTCATTATTTTGTTAAAGTTACAAATACATGTGTTAAAGTTACCTATGTAACATATGTAAAAATGTTACATATGTATTTAATTTTGAGTGAGATGTTACTTGTTTGTACAACTACATATAGTTGTGGATTTCTTCATTTTGAGATATCCAAGCATACCTCAATTGAGTATTCTCCTCCTCTCATAAGAATTCTCTCTTCTTTTTAAGTTCTTGTTTTTGTTTGTGTTGAGAGCAAGTGTCTAAGAGTTCTACCAGATCCGAGTAGTTCGAGGTTGCAATTTTACCGAAGTTAGTCGTTGTATCCTGCTGAGACGATCAATGTAGTCTGCTAACAACTTGTGCAGAGTGAATAATTGTCTTCAGGTCAGCGCTATTGAAGCGTGCCTCGACTATTTTATCAAGTTTTGGTATTCATCAAGTTGTTCAAATTTATATCATTTGTAGCCAATTACGTTGTAATCTGTTTGTCAGTACTACACAGTTCATATATACAGTGTATCTTTACCCAACAATCTAAAGATAATTAGTCATGGCTGCAAACACTTCTGCCAACGCTCCTTCGATGATGGGATCAACCATTGTCAAATCTCATGCTGAAAAACCAGAGAAGTTCAAGGGAGAAAACTTCAAAAGATGGCAACAGAAGATGATCTTCTACCTCACAACCTTAAATCTTACTCACATCTTAAAGGAGGTATGCCCAACTACTCCCCTAGAAGTAATCACTCCAAAAATTGAAGCTATCAAGCAAGCGTGGTTACATTCAAACTTTCTATGTCGCAACTACATCCTGAGTTGCCTGGATGATACCTTGTATAATGCCTACTGCAATGCCTTTGATACTTCAAGGCAATTGTGGGAGGCATTAGACAAGAAGTATAAACTGGAAGATGCTCGTACTAAGAAATTCCTTGTTGGAAAATTCTTAGATTATAAAATGGTTGATACCAAGTTGGTAGTCAACCAGTTGGAAAATGAAGGATTGGTTATTAATGAACAATTCCAAGTTACTGCTGTGATTGAGAAGTTGCCTCCTGTTTGGAGAGAACTCAAATGTTATCTCAAACACAAGCGAAAGAAGATGTCCATGGAGAATCTTACTGTGAAACTTCGCATTGAAGAGGACAACAGAAAGGAAGACAAAGAGCCACATAAAGTTAAAGTTAATGCCCATATGGCTGAAGCTTCAAGGAGTCATCCCAAGAAGAATCAATCCAAGACAAAGAATGTGAATCTTGGGCCAAGGAATGATGCTAACAAGCGCATTCGTGCAATCTGCTGGGTTTGTGGCAAGAGTGGTCATATAGCTGCAAACTGTACACACAAGAAGGGACAAAGTTTCAACAACCAGGCCAACGTTATGGAAGATGACAATTTAATTGCTGTCATCTCTAAGGTAAATATGGTCTTTGACACCAAAGGCTGGTGGATTGATACTGGTGCTACTAGGCATGTCTGTGGGGACAAATCACTGTTCACCACTTATGAGAAGCTAGATGACAGTGATAAATCGTACATGGGAAATGCTTCAACAGCCTCAGTGGAAGGTAAAGGAAAAGTCATGCTAAAATGGACCTCTGAAAAAGATACTTACCCTCACTGATGTGTGGCATGTACTAGAAATTCTAAAAAATCTTGTATCAGGAACCCTACTAAACAAAAATGGGTTCAAACTCGTATTTGAGTTAGATAAATTTATACTGACTAAGGGAGGTATGTATGTGGGAAAAAGGTTATCTAAATGAAGACATGTTTAAATTGAATGTACTGGAACAAGTGCCCAATAATAATAATAATAATAATAACTCTTCTGCTTATATTGTTAAGTTGTGTGATGTATGGCATTCTAGGCTGAGGCATGTCAACAATCACTCTTTACAGAGAATGGTAAGTTTAGGACTATTGCTTAATTTTAATATTGATAATAGACACAAATGTGAAGTCTCTGTTGAATCAAAATTTTCTAGAAAGTCATTTTCATCTGTGGAAAKAAGTAATGAGTTACTTGATTTAATCCACAGTGATGTATGTGACTTAAAAAGTACTTGCACAAGAGGTGATAAGAGATACTTTGTTGCATTCATTGATGATTGTAGTAAATATTGTTATGTATATTTATTACATAGTAAAGATGAGACTTTAGATGTTTTCAAAACATATAAGGCAGAAGTTGAAAATCAACTTGAGAGGAAAATAAAAGTGCTTAGATCAAATAGAGGTGGTGAATATGAATCATCATCACTTTTTGAATTTTGTGAAGTTAATTATACAATCCATCAAACTACGACACCTTATACACCACAAAAAAATGGTGTAGCTGAAAGAAAGAATCGGACATTGAAGGACATGGTTAATTGCATGTTAAATAGTTCAGGTTTACCCCATAATTTGTGGGGGAGGCTTTGCTTACAGCAAAAATTATCTTAAATAAAATTCTACATAAGAAGACTAATAAGTCACCTTGTGAAGTGTGGAAAAAGAAGTTACCCTCATATAAAATACTCAAAGTGTGGGGGTGTTTGGCAAAGGTATAAGTTCCTTTACCAAAAAGGACAAAACTTGGCCCTAAGACAATTGATTATGTCTTTATAGGATATGCTATGCATAGTGTTGCTTATAGATTCTTGGTGATTAAATCAAAAATACATTATATTAATCATAATACTGTCATGGAATCTATTGAAGCTGAATTCTTTAAAAGACCGAAAAGTAATGGCATCAAAAGGAATCATGAGGCTAGCTTTTTGAAATGTCAAAACAATCAGAAAACTGAGATAGAACCTAGAAGAAGCAAAAGAGCTGAGAAAGCTACTTCCTTTGGACCTAATTTCATAACTTATATGATAGACGGGGAGCCTCAAACTTTTCAAGAAGCTATGTCATCTCCATATGCACCTTATTTGAGAGAAGCTATCAATAGTGAGATAGAATCTATTTTACATACAATACCTGGGTATTGGTTGATTTACCTCATGGAAGTAAACTAATTGGAAGTAAATGGATTTTCAAAACAAAGCTAAAAGCTGATGGCACTATTGATAAATATAAAGTCCGTTTAGTAGCTAAATGCTATCGTCAGAAAGAAATGCTAGATTTCTTTGATATTCTCTAGTGACGAGGATTACATTTATAAGGATGTTAATTGCTATAGCAGCTTTACAAAAGTTGGAAATACACCAAATGGATGTAAAAACTGCATTTTTAAATGGAGATTTAGATGAAGAAATCTATATGAAACAACCTGAATGGTTTATTGTAAAAGGACTTGAAAATAAGGTTTGTAAACTTGTCAAGTCTCTATATGGGTTGAAACAAGCACCCAAACAATGGCATGAGAAGTTTGATCACATTATGTTATCTAATGGATTTAAGATAAATGAGTGTGACAAATGTGTCTATGCTAAAACCATAGATAAAGATTGCATCATTGTTTGTTTATATGTAGATGATATGTTGATAATAGGCACAACTAGAAGTGTCATTGATTCCACTAAAAAGATGTTGAGTTCCAACTTTGATATGAAAGACCTTGGTCTTGCTGATGATGTTATCTTTGGAATCAAAATAACAAGAAATCCAAATGGATACATACTTTCTCAATCTCATTACATAGAGAAAGTGTTGAGAAAATTTGGTCATTTTGAGAGTAAGCTAGTAGTTACTCCATTTGATCCAAATTGTAGTTGAAGAAAAATAATGGTGAAGGTGTATTTTCTCTAGAATACTCTAGAGTTGTGGGTAGTTTAATGTACATAATAAATTGTACAAGACCTGATATTGTCTATTCAGTAGGAAGAT